CAGCCACAAACCATACTCTCACCAGCTGTAGGGAAGAGCAGAGAAACAAAGAGAGAGAGCGAGAGAAGGATGGAGGGGGGCAGATAGGTTTTAATGTTGATATTCTGGTCTAATTAGATTCCTGTCTGAGTGGCGGAATGAATGGTGCTGATCATATAGGAACAGAGCAGAGCAGAAGAGGAAGCAGGCTTTGTTTGAGTTGGCGAATTCTGTTTTTTGTACACACAAGGGGCTCTTGATCTATAATTGAGACGCAGAGAGGAGCAAATTGTCTACACTGCCTCTTTTGGATACATCCAAACTCTCTTGTAGTCATGTTGAAAAAAGACCAAATGTCTTCTGTAGAGCGACTAAATTTTAGATGACGCGTCATTGCATTTATTATATCAGTGTTACCTAAGCATTATGCAATCAGCTCTTGAAGGTTAGACGTGACAACGACGATATTTAAAACGACCTGTGTATGAGAAACTCCCTAACCTTAAACATTAATTTCACTACAAAAGTACGCATTTGCCCGTCTACAGTGTAACATAAAGATACTTGACTGTTTTTAAACATGTCCATAAAATTAAAAGAAGATTAAACAGAAAGCTTTAAACAGCACAGAGAAAGAAATACCATTCCAGCACACACAAGAAGGCAGATTGAGTGCCATGTGTTTGTGGAGCCCAGCTGAACCCCGCCTGCTAAACCAGTCCGCTGGCTGTGACAGACTGTCAGGCAGGGAGAGAGGGTGGTGCGTGTGTGTGTCTCTGTGTGTGTGTGTGCGTCTGTGTGTGTCTGTTTGAACAGAACAAGACAAGAAAGAGGGGAGAAAATGAGACAAAAAGACAGACTGACCAGTATAGACAAACATGAAGGAAAGAGACGTAAGAGAGGAGGTATATTGACATACAAATAGAAAGAGAGACGGTACATATTGTAGTACATATGATGAGAATGGGAGACAGAGAGAGCAGAGTAGAGGAGGCCAGGCTTTCTGTGGCTTAGCCAGACTGGAGCGGTGGGACTTGGCTGGCTGCGGACCCTTGGCTTCACTATTAAAGCAAGAGGGAAAAAAAATCACAGTCAAAAAATGAAAAGGGCAACAAGCTATGCCAAGAATGCACAGGCAAGAAGCAACACATTAGGTTCTTTCCTTCTGCCTGCCTTACTGTTTCCTAAAGCAGATCTAAACAATAGGTGGGACCAGCCTTGAGAACCAAGCACTGTGCAGTCAGAACCCCACTTAGTGACTGAGAGCTCATGGCAGCTTTTCCCTTTGGGGTATATAGGTACTCTATTCTATCTATTTCTAACAGTTTTCCTCTTTCGTGTGCTAATAGGTAGCCAGTCATCTTAGGCCACCTGCTCTGACTGTATCCACAGTCTATATTTGTCAGCCAGGTGATATTTTTATGTGAAATGTTTAGAGCAAAGACGAACATGTTTGTCATGGTTCCAACATTAAATAGAAAAGAAATATCTAAAATATCTTCTGCATCACTGTAGAAGACGTTTTCCTAAATGAAATCTGGCCTATTTTGTAACTTTGAAAAGCGTCCAGTTTCCACTATAATTTAAACTGAATTCTGTAATCGTGAACAAAGCTTGGTTTCACAGTGCTGGCTCAGAAGCTGGACACAGTGGGGTTTTTTTTGTTTTGTTTTTTTTTTTTACTACCGCTACTACAAAAGTTTCAAATGATGGATGATTCATCAAACTGTCATGTTGTTGTAACAATACAAGACTAGAAGTTTAGGCATGCTAAAAGTTCTGTTAAGCTGACACTACCCAGCAAACATGCCCCCTCCAGGCCTGTGTGTGTGGCAGACCTAAATGGCCCACAGTGGGTGCCTGTATGTGCCTCATTGGCATGGTGGGGCCAGTCAGGAATTTTTGTGCGCAAGTCTACAATAGGTTACCCACAGAAAACCTTTATGGGGACCTAAAAGGTAAAAACTTCTGTGGCCCCACACCGGTCTTCAATATGGAAGTCCACAGTAGGCTTGCCCATAGAAAACCAATACTGGTGTCCCAAAGGGCAAAACTGCCATGGGCCCCATGTGGGCACACTCAGTTTTGGCCTGTGAGGGATAAGTGTGGGTTTGCCCTGTCCACAAAGCCCTACAGTTCACCCACAGCTACTCACTGTGGGCCGACATGGGTATGTTTGCTGGGTAAATGTAATGTTTTATGGTAGTGGAAAACATTCTAAACACAGAGTGCAGCACAGTCTGCTGGGAATGGGGGGGGGGGGGTTCAGGTATTTAGTTATGAACCAAATTTAGGTGCACATTAGAAAAATTTCTGAATTATTATTATTATTATGGGACCAGAGGAAAAATCTGACCATTCACCCTGAGATGGATATAAATATCTGCACCAAAATTTGTCTAAATCCATCGACCAGTTGTATCATTTTAGCTAGGCTATGATGGGACTAGAGAAAAAGTCAGCAAAGAAAGAAAGATGTAAAGAAAAATAATAAAATAGAATAGAATAGCTCTTTATTGTCATTGTACGTGTACAACAAAATTGTAGTTGTACATGTAATCACAAACAAAATCATAAACCATTCAACATTTATTGGGATATCTTAGGTTTATTTAGACAAAACGAGGAGGATCAATCAACTGACGGACCAACTTGTCGCTTACAAAGAAGAACATCATAAAAATCTGTTTACTCTAGTTTGTTAAACAGCTCTTGAAGTTTGCTATCACAACAGTTTTTGCTGTCTTGTGCATCATGTTCAGTTTTTGGTGAGTGTGTGTGTGTTAGTACCCAGTCTGTTGCATATGCGGGGATGGCATTTTGGAAGCGACATTAGACATTTGGGGGACTGGTATTGTTTATAAGCCCTATGGAGAATTGAAAGCCTAAGCAATACTGGCATCTGTTTAATTTACTGTTCACGCGTGTGCGCACACACACACACACACACACACACACACACACACACACACACACACACACACATGAACCCATGAATTCAGAGGACATTA